TTGGGCGGAAGACGGGCAGGGGCTTCTACGACTACTCTGGGGAGGAGCAGCAGGCAAAGAAGGGAAAGAAGTGAACTGATGATAAGGAGAGAAAAGGGAGAGCATGATATGATATGCCAAAGTGAAGTGAATAAAAGTGCTGATTGATTGATAACAGAAAGCTTTCTTGGCATGTCTTGCCAAGTCTCTCTTTTTTTTCAGTGTACCACGTAGCACCCAGTTTTCAAACAGGCTGCCTATATCAGCACTGGCGGATTTCAGATTTGTTTACATCATCATCTCCTCCACCACCACCACCACTGACATCTTCTTAGTATTTGAAAAAAAGAGATTTCCATTTCTTCAGGTGCTGGTCAACTCAAGCGATGGTCCACCCCCACCACCTGATCAAGCGCTGTAAGGTGTGCTCCGACCAGGCGCCCGGCTTCAACTTTCAGGGGCTGAGCTGCGACTCCTGTAAGGCCTTCTTCCGGCGGAACGCCCACCGAGAGTGCACCTTCCGCTGCATCAACGGCACCACCGGCCAGTGCCAGGTGAACCTGATCAATCGGAAGAAGTGCAAAGCCTGTCGCCTCTTCAAGTGCCTCCACGTGGCCGGCATGCAGAAGGAGCGCATTCGAAGAGGTGAGGAGAGAAGCTATCAGCAACAGCAACAGCAACAGCAACAGCAGACACAACTCTCGCCCTTTGACCCTAACTTCCGGTGCCTGGACAGCAACAGTCTGCAGCTGTACGAGCAGCGTCAGCTGGCGCTGGTGGAGTACGCCTTTGGCGCCTACCTCGACGAGACCAACCTGCCCATTGTCGGCCGGCTGGAGACGCCCAGCGAGATACTGAACCTGCCCGGGGAGTACATCGTCTCGACGATTCGCTTCTGCAAGCGGCTGCCCGCCTTCCGCAGCCTGCCCGCCGCCGACCAGCTGATCCTCTTCAAGGGCTTCTTTCCGGAGAAGAACTCAGTTCGGGTGTCGTACAAGTACGACCAGGAGATTGACGGCTGGACGGGCGTCCGCGACTACCAGGAGCCGCAGCAACGACACGGCGTCCTCGTCACCCTCAAGAACATGCGCCCCTGGGCCTGTGAGGAGCTGGTGTCGGTCTTCTTCAGCTTCATCCGGCAGCTGCACGAGGAGATGGAGGATGATGTCAATATTCGCAATTTGGTAGGAGAGTTTGGAGAGTTCTAGATTAACTAAAAAGTTCAATTTAAAGTGATGTTTGGTTCTTGTTCTTTTTTTGTTGTTCTTGCGCCATAGATCATCGTCAGTCTGCTCTTCAAGCCGCGGCCTGAGCTAAGTCGAGCTGAACCGGTGCACTTTCAGCACCTCTTCTACTGTTTCCTGCTCTCCCGGTACCTGGAGGCAAAGTACGCCAGCAAACTGCTCGCCCGGAAGAAGTACACCAGTCTGCGGCTGCTGCTCTGCAGGGTGGACTACATTGCCGCCATTCTCCGGTCCATCTACCAGAAGGTGCCCGCGGCGACGCTGGCTGAGGCGCTGAAGGAGGTGTATAATTTATAGTGTGAAAAAAACCGATTTTTGTAAAGTTGCACTGAATGATCTTATTCTGACTCTTCTACTGTTGGTTCAAACAGTTTGCATTTTTGTTTTGTTTTGTTTTTTGATAAATAAGATTTTTTTTCCTGTGAATCACCAGGCAAAACAGTTTATTTTTAGAACGAAATGCTGTCGCCAAATGCCAATGTGTTAACTGTTTCAATTGAATCTAATTAGCACTTTTGCTGAGCTTTTGATGACTTGATGATAGGTTGCCGAAAACCGTTCAAATTAGTGAAAAAAAAATGTACGAACAGGTGCTCAAACAGCAGAATAGTTTATTCGTTTTGTAGTCTAGTCGTATTCACTGGCAAAGCTTAAATGAACACCACTTGGACAAAATAGAAAATGGAAATTAAACATGAAAATATGCTAGTGCGAAATAAGTTTCTCGTGCCTAAAACTGAAAATGTAAAATACACCCGCTCTTTAGAGCAGTCCATGTACCCGGAAAAGCTTTTCGGGTCTTTTACTGCAGTTAAAAAGCAACAGCAGAAGTACCCTAAAATATCACCCACCAATCAAAAGTGTCCTCGTTTCGGTGCCTGCCTCACCAACTGTCCTCGATCGCTAAAAATTATTGTTCAAACTTACAGGTAATTTTTGTTTAGCAAATTAGTTTTTTTTCAAACAAGCTAACTTTTTCTTTGTTTACAGATACATTTTCTTTACCTTTTCCGGACTTGTCTTTGAGGATAGAGTGAAAGAGAACAGTAAAAACACTCGACAGCATCAGCAGCAACAACAAATGGTCAACAAAAGAAAACTGGCTAATGGTCGGAAATTGACTTTAAAACCTCAAGCTCTAAAGCATCCACTAACTCAATCCACTGATGAAGTTATATCAAGAAGCAGTTTGGCCATTCTTGTCATCGGCTTCCTGAGCATGGCATCGTACGGATTTCCCCTATATTTTACCTACTACGCCAATCAAATTGAAAAGTCTGAAATTAATGTCAACACCAACAACAGCAGTTCAGATGATGAAACAATCAAACTGGTGCACTTCTTTGGCCTGACACAGTACCAAATGGAGTTTGGGCAACTGAAGCCAATTCTCAGCGCTGTCATGCAAATGGTGAGTTTTTGTTTTTTCTGTAGTGACAAAAGTTTTTGCTAAAATTAATTTGCTTTCTTTTTTAGGTAGTGTACGTCTTTATCATTGAGAGTTTCTTCAACTACTTTGTAAACTTTTTCACCGGCGGACGACTGATTTGCAAATTGGCCACCATTCCGGGAGTTCACCGACTGAATGAAACCTCGCTAGAGACGTTTGTCTTTAGGAAGATGGTCATTGTGTTGGGGGTTATCTGCGCCATTCTCGGCGCCGGCTTTGCAATGTTCAACCGGAAGCACATTGGGCTGCTAATTCGGCTGGCCTTAGGGGAACAGTTTCAGCTGGAAAAGGGCATGAAGGTTGAACTGCTGAAGCTAAGCTTTTTCAGTTTTTTGAACTTTTCTCACTTTCTCATCCTCTCGCTGTATCCGCTTCTCTTCTACTACATGATGACCGTTTTTGGGCGGGTAATTGACGGCATCAGTGAGTCAAGTCAGACAGGTAAAGAAAAAAAA